TTTCTGCCAGGAGTCTGGGTCATACTTGACCTGTTCGTTAAGACGGCGCTAACATTACATCTTCATGCACACAGAAAATCGTACAGCTTTTGCAGGCTACGGATTGAAGGCGAACAAGGGATGCAAAGGTAAGTTACCTGGAGCAAAGTTTGTTGTCCCGTAGAACCTAATGGTGCCAAATCTCTGGCCTACGACCAGCACCCTCTCCCCCAGGTGGAGCGCTCCTTCAGAGCGGGCATTATTTGCGACAGAGGTTGTTGAGGAATTCAAACCTGTTGGGTGGGTGGGTGGTCGAGAAAAGGAGAGGAAAGGAGAAAAGAAAAGGGGGGGAAAAGTAAATAAATTCAAAAGGTTGCACCTGAGCCAAAACACTGCTACGTATTCCCACCAGTTTAATTGGTGGGAGATTTCCATACGGATCGCTTCACTGTTTGGGTCAGCTATGGTTGTGGTTTACCTGTCTGAGGCCAGGTGACTCAAAGGGGACACAAAGGGGTTCCAGTGAAGATGGTGGCCAGAGGCAAGCAGGGGGAAAGGCAATACAAACCGATTTCTGGCAAAAGAACGCTGGAGGGGTTACCTGGACCCCTCTCCACTTATCTCTACGAACTTTCTCTACTAAGGACCAGACAACAAAGGTTTCGGGCTTTGTGGGCCATGGTGATTCTGTTACCCCTGGTCCCCCTCCTGTCTGCTGTCATGCAGAAGTGACCACAGGCCATCTGCAGACCAATGGGCCCAGCCAGATGTGTGCTCACACAAACTCGGAGAGTGGGCCCAAGTTGGCCAAGGGGCCTCAATTTGTCCAGCCCCGTCAGCAATAGAGTAGCCCCCCACCCCAGGAGTTGGGGTGCACAACAATGCTGATTTAAAGGAACAATTGCTATAAAGTTCCAGTGACCCCCAAATGGATGTCTTCATTAGAAACATAACTACTCTCCTTGCATCCAGCGTCAAACAGGAGCAGGAAATTTGCCATTTAAAAAAAAAGAAAAGCAAAGTCAAGGCTGTGGAGTTGAGCCTCCCGGAGACCACTGAGGAACAGAGGCAAACAGCCCCAGGAAACTGCCCAGGCTGCAGGCCTTCACAGAAGCTGACCGCCACCGCTTCCTCACGCCGTCCAAACCGCCAGCTTCTGGTTCACGACTGAACACTTAACCACAATGCCACGAGGGCCTCCTCACCCTTGAGATGCCGACCACTGGATGGCAGGCATCGGACAGAAATGCTGGCTCTAGAACGAACGCTAATGCAGCCGCGGAGAGAGAAACTCGGAGCCCTGGCACCCTGTGCCATGAAGACGTGGGTGGGCACGGAAATGAGGGTCAAAAACGCCGAAGCCCAACCCGCTGCCATGAAGTCAACTCTGGCCACAGTGAGCCTCGAGGGCAGGGTAGAACTGCCCCTTGGGCTCTCTGAGGCTGCCAGTCTTTCCCCAAGGAGCCTGGCCCGTCTTTCTCAGATGTTTCAGAGCCGCCTTCCCTTGAGGGGGCGGCCCAGCAGGGACCCACCATGCCACCAGCCTGGCAGACCCCGTCTGGGAGCACGCCAACAAGTGAAGGAGCGCAAGCCCACCCAGAAAGGTGGTCTGGGTCAAGTGTGCTCCATTCAAGAGCCCTGGGCTCTTGTATTACCTGAGGTTCCCTAGACCTTCACAGTGGACCCCGTGCTCGTCAGAAAGATCTTAACGACAATGAAAGATACAGGCTGGGGAACCACTAAGGCCCGGGATGCACAGCCAGTAGGCGTCTTACCCACGGAGGCCCCAGAACACACTCTCTCCCAGCTCTCCCTGCCTCTCGGCTGAGCTCTCTCCCTAATCCCTTGTCCTAACTTCTGGAATACCTACTCGCGCTAGGGAAAAGTGTCCTAAGGAAATATTACGGGGGTCCTCACATGGCTTTCTCCCCCATTACGTCCTATGCTGGCTCGCGCGCGCGCGCGCGTTCTCCCATCCCGCCCACCCAACCCCACCTCACTCCTTTTCTTTTTTCCCCACAAAGAAAAGCTGGCAGATAACAACACCATCTCAGGAGCTCAATAAGAGCTTGTTAGGTGATCCACTGCTTGAAGCACCTCTGTAATACTGTTCCTAATTAAAAAAACAAACAAACTCAGAAGCTCAGTGCCACTCTCGAAATAGCTCCCCCTGCTCCCTGCACCCGGCCCCCAGTAACCACTCGTCAACGTCCGTCTGTGGGCAGCCGCCTGTTTTCAATTCATCACAACAGTGGGAGCACACACTATCGCCCTTATTCCGTGGCTGCCTTGTTCCAGCCAGCATGTCGTCCCCCGCTTCTCAACGGTCTTTCTCTCCAGCTGGTTAACTCTCTTCAGCTTCAGGACTTATAACCCTAGGGAGCCCTCAAACTTATAACCTTATAAAAAGTTATGTGTATAATTATTATCGTGTAATAAACGCTAGAAGGCTTATAGGAGGTAAAAGGAAGGCTTATAAAAAGTAAACTATATGCTACATGTAAAATTTTCAAAAACTCAAACACAGGTCCCAAAGCCCCAAACCCAAAGAAAGTAGCCTTAAATTGCAAATAGCATGGGACAGACGGGGCTGCTACGTCATCGTATCTGTTCACTGCTGTCCCTCACAGCGGGAGAGGAGGGAAGCTATTCGGAGAACCAACAATACAAGTAAATACTTTCAGGAAAAATGTTGCCCCCTACTTCTAGGGCCCCACATTTTACATTATCATGCCAGCGTTTCTGTTGAGAATGTGTTTTTTCCCGTCAAAGTATTGTAAAGTGAAAAGAATAATCAATCCTGTTATGAACACTTTATAGAATTAAATATTGGTTCAAAGCAAACATTGGAAATATTAGAAGAAAGAACATCTGTTAACTACCATGAGCTTCTCTGAGAACAATTTATGCTGAAATGACTCTACCCCCTCTTGGCACAGGCTCATGATACAGGTGGATACGTGAGGTGCAGTCGCTCTCTCAAGCAGAAGTCTGAGGGTGGCTCACAGATCTGCACACACAAGGCAAGCAGTGTGGACCACCTGCACAAGTCCCAGCCATACACCATCAGGTCATCTCTGTCTACCTGGAAGGGCCTTTGGGCCTCCTCTTTGTAACACTTTAAATAATGGCTTAGATAAAAGCAGAGAAACCATGCTTCGTATATATACACACACGTGTCCCACAGCTAATATATAAGAAATGAGACAAAACCCAGATAGGCTGGAGCCCCTGTGAAAATAAAAGTCTGACACCCAGCCGCCAAATGAAGAGCCCTCGTCCCCAGGCTCAATTTGAACGGACAACACAGTCGGGGTTGGGAAAGGAGGAGGGACGGAGACCGGAATCTCAGGGAGGAAGTGTGGATCCACGACATTACATCGTGGGGGTGACAGCCAATGACACGAAACACGGCGTGTGCATGAACGGTTGGGTGGAAATCGGGTCTGTTCTGAACGCCTGCACCCGATTTGCAATAAACGTTAAAAGCAAAACAAAACATTGTTGTCACCAACACCGCACACGCAGCCTTGATGTCTATTTGTCAGAGAAACAGTAGTTTAACTCGGGAACAGCTGGCCGGTGAGGGGTCCGGGGCCCATGCATGCCCTGCGAGGAACAGCTGCCCACATAGGGGGCAGCCACGGTGGTAGCGGCAGCTCAGCGAGCAGAGACTACGGCATCAAGCAGCACCGCGGGCAAAGGCCCCTGTGCCACTTAAGTGTGACTACGGGGTGGGTGGTGATCTCCTCATAAGCCTCTGAGTCCTCGTGCATAAAATGAGGGTCATCACGCTGCCTCCCCGGTCAGCCTATTCTAGGAATGAACTGGACAGATGTCTGTGAAGCACCCCGCCCAGTATCTGGAACGGTAAGTGCGCAATAAATGTGAGTTAGGAGCATCAGGGTTAGATCGGGTGTGTGTGTGCGGGGGTGGGGGAAGCTCTGTGAAGCGAGCTGGGAAAATGCAAGCACCTGAGGGTCGAACACAGAGTGAGTTCGACAGTGACCCTCACAGGCTTCCGGGCGGGAGGGCTTGCATGCGTGGGAAGGACCAGCAGCGAGAGGAGACCAGGAAAACGGCCAGCGAGCGGAGGGAAGGGACATCAGAGGGAGGTTTACGAAGGGTTGGGGTGGGGGGGCAGGGGAGCGTGAACGTCCTTAATTGGACGGACGCAAAGGGTTCCTTCTACACAGTTAAAAAGAGCAAATCTACTTACAGAGAAACCAAGATAAAAAACACCAAGAAAGCCTGGTTGAAAAGACCATAGATACCAGCACTGGCTCGAGACGACACGGGCGAGCTTTTGCTCAGGGGCTTCTTGCTACCGCTGCTGGCGTTCAGCCTCTGGAGGGCGCTCTGCTTGTGCTCCAAGGAAGACATGGAGGAGGAGCTGCTGACGGACCCCAGCAGGGCGGCTGAAACAGGCAAGCAGAGCAGACAGGTCTCAGTGGGGACCGGTGAGAAGCGCTTACGGGCTATGCTCGCGAGCTCGCGATTGTGGGTAAAAGGTTCAATGCCACATGCAAGACCGACGTTCCTACGGATATGCCATGGTTGATGTGGCAAAGGCTTTGTGACCTAAGCAGGAAGAGTTGACAGGCGTTTATGCTATCAAGTCACAATCACGTCAATGAAAGTGTCGCCGCACTAGTAAAAGTTGACTGCCTGCTCGAAGGACCACTGTCACCCACCTCTCCCGTGAGATGGGTAGAGGAGCCCTCATGTATGTCTACAAGCATAAACCAACAAAAAGCCCTTCGGTGTCACTGCGCCCATACTGGCTCGCAGCACCCCTGTAGGACGGAGCGGACTGTAATGCTATCCAGGAACAGAGAGCCTCGTCTTTCGCCCACAGAGCAGCTGGTGGATTCAAACTGCTGGTCTCAAGGCTTGCAGCCCAAAGCGTAGACCCACTATAGACAGACACCCACACAGATATTAGTATGCTATAAGTAAATCAAAGTGTACTACTAAAATATTCGGAGTGAATCTTGAAGTAAGAAACCTGTGAGTTGTCCGCTGGGGCTCTACGGCCCTAAGGATCAGACACCCCAAGGGAACTTAGGAAGCCTTTCTGCCCAATCCTCTTCACTGGGTTGTTGCTGTGTGGTGCCATCCGGTCAGCTCTGGCTCGCCGTGACCCTACGTGCAGGAGAAGCAAACACTGCCCAGTCCTGTGCTGTCGTCACCATTGTCGTGTGTGAGCCCACTGTTACAGCCACTGTGGCCATCCGTCTTGGAGAAGGCCTTCCTCTTTGTCCACCGACGCCGAGCGTTGTGTTGTGTTCCAGAGACTGACCTCTCCCGGCAGCACGTCCACAGCATGTGAGACCAAGTCTCACAATTCCAGCTCCTGAAGAGCATTCGTTAGGCTGCACTTTGGAGGATCAATGTTTAGTTTGTGACTAAGGCTCATGCTGACGGCCCTTCCTCCGAGACAGATGGGTTTGTCCCTCCGGACAGTCCCGGTACTTTCACCGTTCTTTTCACTACACCACGATTAAGATGCACCAGTTCTCCCCAGGCCATCCTCATTCACTGTTCAGCATGCATATGCATATTGAAGCAATTAAAATACCACGGCTTTTTATTAGGAAGGCACGATTCAACCAGGGTACTGTATAGCATAGACGAAACACACATCATTCTTCTAGTTCCTGAATGCTCCCTCCCCCCAC